TATGGCTTAGTTACATATGATAAATTAACTAAAATATCTAAATCAAAACCGTGCAATACTTTTGTCCTCCCCCGGTAGACTTTAGATATTTATTATCATCTTATAATAAAGAAACACATTATTCAAACCTAAAAAAAAGCACTATAAATCCTAATATGATATAAATCAGTGAGTCACTCTGATCTAATTATTTATATAATATACTGTATATTTATAATAATTTAATTTATAACAATTAATTTATAATTAATAACGTGGTTTTGATATCGTAATAGATTATTTAATGCATTTTATATACATTAAAATAAAAACTTGGACTTGACTTTTCAATATCATCACAAACAATTCATCACTATATAATCTCATATAATTCGATACAGCTGTAATAATGGAATAATAATAGTATCCAAGTAATATGAAATATTTTGTGGTAGGTAATATTAGGTAAATTGATAACATCGAAAATATTTAGTTTTAATTAACTTCATGTATCAACACATTAGATAATATTTGATTATAGATAAACAAAAATATTTAGATATTAATATGCCGAAAGTATATATAAACATTTATAAAGATCATCATAATTTAATATAAATATACCTTAGTTAATATTATATGCAGTGTTACTAATGAACAAGTAATTTATGTATATCTCAAGAATAAATTAGGATTAATATTAAATGCAACTATTGTTATTCATATGCAGTTTCCAATAGGTTCAACAATGAATCTAATTAAGCTTAAGGAATATGAAGATTTTAAAAAAGTTCAAAAGGATAGTAAGAAAAAAATTCAGTGACACGAGTTTTTAAAGCTCAATAAAAACCAATATTTGAATTTCAGGGTAAGTGTGCATAATCATTTGTTAATAATATAGTTAATATTTTATGATGCCTATAATTTAGAATGATCTACGTAATCGTGCTGCTTCTCATTTTTCTCGTGGTGAATCCTTATCTCGTTAATCAAAGGGAAAGTGCAAAAAGTTATAAATGATATAAGAATATAAAATTCATATTTATAATAATATACTAAAACTAATATTATTATATTATTAGTTTAAGTTAGCCAATCCAACATTTCCAATTTCAGAAGCAGATTTCGTTCTTTATGACTGGCTTATCTCATATTGCAATAGCATGGGTAAGTACTTTATAACTGCTTTTAACAATTATTATTTGATTATATTCTGAATTTATATTAATACAGTTGATCAAGTAAAGAAGAAAATGGTTGCAGAAGCGAAAGATAAAGGACTTTTACCACCATCACCAAAAAAAAAAATGTTCGGCCTTCTCCTAAATTAAAGCATACAGATCATGAAGCAACTAATGCCTCGCAAGATTATGAAAGAAATTCAGGTGCTTCTTCAGCATCTAATACTTGTCCAAATACAACAATTTCGTCTCTAGTATATCAAAATACAACAGTTTCATCTCCAGCATATCCAAATACAACAGTTTCGCCTCTATCAAATCCAAATACAATAATTTCGTCTCTAGTATATCAAAATACAACAGTTTCGTCTCCAGCACATCCAAATACAACAGTTTCGCCTCTATTAAATCCAAATACAATTTCGTCTCTAGCATATCAAAATACAACTGTTTCGTCTCGAGCATATCAAAATACAATGGTTTCACATCCAGAACATCAAAATACAACAGTTTCGTCTTCAGCCCATCCAAATACAACAGTTTTGTCTCCAACTACTATCTTGGAAACAAATATTTCAGTTATAACCGAAACTGCTATTAATGCATTTGATACTCCTCAAGGTATTATGTAAATACTTATATATTCTTTTGTTATTTTTTTAAATATAATCAAGTTTTCTATTTTTTATAGATAAAAAAGGTAAGAAAAGAGGAAGAGGGAGAGGAAAACGAATAATAGGAGAAACTTCATTGCAAAAAACAAAATCTAGAAAGAGATCCAAAGATGATAATGGTAAAATGGTATAGAATCTTTAAGAATGAATTTCACTAGCATGTTTCCAAGATTGCATTCAATTAATTCAAGATTTTATATATTTTATTCTACATTATTTACTTCAGTGTATTTATTGCATTTATTCTGAAACATTTCCATAATAGCATTCAGTGAATTTATTGCATTTATTCCGAAAATTTTCCATAATAATATTTAGTAAATTTACCGCATTTATTCCGAAACATTTCCATAATAGCATTCAGTGAATTTATTGCATTTATTCCGAAACATTTCCATAATAATATTCAGTGAATTTATTGCATTTATTCCGAAAAATTTCCATAATACCATTCAGTAAATTTACCGTATTTATTCTGAAATATTTCCATAATATCATTCAGTAAATTTACTGAGTTTATTCCGAAAAATTTCCATCTTATTAATTATAAATTCCGTGAATATGCTACATTTATAGAGAAAACACAGAATCTTGCATTTAATAATAAAAATGGAAAAAATACGGATTCAAAACACGGAAAAAAATTTCTACAGGTAAGTTAATGCAAGTATCAGTCCAGTAATTACCAGATAAAAATACGTTTTATTTTTGATTTATAGTATTGGGTTAGATTGCTTCGGCATACTGAATAATTTCAATTTTATTGCGTCCATTTATTTTCTCTAATAGCTGGATCAATAAGAAACTTTTTTTTGATTATTTTAGTAAATTGTTTTATTTCTTTTATTAGGCGAATCTGACCAATCTGTCATATTTGTCAAATAAGTTGATCCAATCACGATTCTTGTTTAAAATAAAACTTGCAACGCTTAGTAAATAAGGTCTGTCATATTATGACTAGCAAAGTTGAAATAAGTTGATTAAAAATATGCATATGAAGGTGGGCAGGAAAATCTTTGAAAAAATAATATAACTCCCTTAAAATTTTTTTATAAATATCTTTTTTTATTTTAAAATTATTTGAAAATAAATAATTACAAAATCAAAACCCATAAGAATTAACCGATTATTTCTACACCAGATAACGATACTTTCTAAACATTTACGTTAACATAATATACCTTTCAATGTATCTAAATTATCTTTTTCAAAACTTATATAAAGTTGAACAAAATTAAGTTTGATTCATTTGTTGAATGATCCATTCTTGTACTTAATACATTACAATTTCAAGCTTTAAAATTTCAAAAGAAATCTCAAAGACACGTAAAATTCAATTTATCTAAGCCTTTAAAGGGAATGTGAACGTTTGAAGTAGCCATGTAAAAAATTGAAATCTCTAGTTCTTGAAATTTAATAATGATGTAATATGTGTTAATGGTATGTCGATATTCCACCTACAGATACATAATGCGGTTAATGTATTGTGAAGATGGTCATGATATTGTTCATATTTAATTAATTATTATTATTGTTATTTAATTTTATTTATATAATACAAGGCTATATCATGAAAATTAGAATTTACATAGAGTCATTCTTAAAGAGATCAAGGCATGTTACGGATGATAAAGTTTGGGTATTGCTATATTACAAATTAGTTTGGTGGAACATTACATATTTATTGCAACTTAAACTTCAAATTTAACCATGGAAGGCTCTGATTTCAGTAGTGACCTACAGCTTCTTATGTTACTATTTAATTTGATCTGCTAGATCTTTCAATAATTAATTTTAAACCGCCTATACCAAGTTAGTGATTTCCTTTTACTAGCAATTATAAAAGATTTGATATCAATATTGATGATATTACACAATTAATCATAAGATCTGTTGTCTTAAGATTAGGTTTAGATTCAATTCCTTTACAACAGTTTCGGATGTTGATCCTTTAGAAATTCATTGTTTTTCTCATGTCTTTTGTAAGTTATCACAAACGATGATGATTTTAATGATTAAATTTGTGATGAACAATTTTGAAACATCACGTAAAAATTAAGTTTAATATAAGATTATAAAATCATGTGAGATATGTTGTTCAAGTTCATTATAATGAACTATCACTACTAAATCATAAATCATCTTAGTAAATAAATCAAAGATGATTTTTTGAGTGAAAATTACAATTTTTATTTTTTTTTATTTTTTTTAGGAAAATTATATTTAAAATTAAGTTAAGTAAATTTATAAAAGAATTATATTATAATTATTATGATAGTTCATATTTTTTTGAGAAAGATTTACATGATCACATTTTTAGAGTACATATAGAAAAGTATTCACAACTGGTAGATGTGAGTATGGAAGTGGAGTACGAATATGAAGGAAATAATCAGATGCAGTGAGAAGTGAATTATGAGGAATTTGAGATGAGTCTGATTCATTTTCTGATAAGCACAATCATGTTCTTAATGCACAAGATATTACAAATAAGGATGTTATAATAAAATGCATATTAATCGTACAAGTCCGGATGAAGAGATAGTACTACTAGAGCTAATACTAATTATCTCAGATGTAAAAAATGCCAACTTTCTTTTATGATCAGCAGAGATTTGGAAATCCATAATAAGAATAGCCATCATTATAATGAAGGGAATGAAGGGATTCAATTACAAAAGTTAATTAAAATTTTGCTGTATTTAGTAGATTTAAATTAGTTTCATTAGAAATAAATTTCTTTTATTGTTGTTTTATATATTGAATAAATATTAACTGAATAAAATATTTTACCGGTTTTCTTTGATCATCTGATGCGTGTGAAAATTGAAATTTATCTTGATATATGGTTTGTGATCTAGAAAATCAGGTTCTGAGACTAAAATTAATATCTTATTACATTTTGGTCTAAATGTAATAAAAATTAAAATGCAATTAAAATCCCAATTTTGATAAAAAATTCTCAAAACTTGATTTTCTTAGATCATAACCCATATTAGTCTTTATATTAGTATAAATTGAAACAACTTTTTAGATTAGCATGCGTAAAACTAAATTTGTTCATCAATCTCAGATTTAGAATTTCCTTTGATAACTATTATCATGTATTATTAAAATATTCCCCCGTAAATCCTGTTGTTTATTTTTTAAATATCTATAATAAAAAATAATGATATATGATTTAATTAACTACTAAAATAATTAAATATGTTTACCCAGTGAATTAGACATGAGCATTGCAAAATCATCAATTTTTGAAAACTTATATACGTAATTTTATTTAAAAATTGATGTTAGCTAAAAAAAATGAATATAAATAAATAAAATTGATTATTTTGAAAGAAAAATTAGTATAATAAAAATTAAAATATATAAACAAGCTCTAAAGGAATTAAAAATTGTTGTTCAATTTTCCAAGAGCTATTCCTTGTCCACTTGAAGTAAACTTTTTATCATCACGAGTTAGCCATGTTAACTTTATTTAATTTTTTTATTTAAAAAAAAATTAATAAAAAACTAAGAGAATCCTTTATAAACATCCTTACAGAACTGAAATCTCTTATATATTATTAAATTGATAATGAAGATATATTTTTAATTCAACAAAATATTGCAAGTTAAAATATGCTATCGATCATTAGAATTTCCTTCGGCAATATTTTTAATCGATCCCATTCTCAGATCTAAAGAGAAACCATTGTTTTTGAAAAGAATCCGTACCATAGTTTAAATATTTTTATACACAGCCATTTGTATGCTTGAAGATCTTCAACAATACAATATTGTAATCAACTTTCTATCAGATTAACAAAAGGTAAAAAAAAAGTAATATTACCATAAACTCCGACATATTACGAATTAGAAGAACACCATAAAATAAAAATTGGAATTTAGTAATTCCTCACAAACCTTAATTTCCGACGATTTGTCTTTTGATTGAAAATTATTTCCTAATAAATGGTAAATTATATGTATCAAACAAATTTTTTAGTTCAAATTTCTCACTATATCAGTAAAATGGAATCGATTCTACTATAGACGCAATAAAGCACAGTTTAAAAAAATAGGAAATTTAAAATATCAACCATCATCAGTTTCAATAGCATTATAAATTCTTTGGTATATAATTAAATTAAGAAAATAATAGCAAAATAATAATAAAAGAAGATCTAACAATCCTTAGGTTCCCCTTTGTCTGGATTCATAAAAATGTTTATTTTCGATGTTATTTTCTTTTATTATGCGAATCTATACATTGGTAATGTGTTTTTAAATTTTTGTTTTTAATTTTTTTTAGTCGCAGCAAATTGCAGCAATTTTTATAGCTTTTTTTTATATTCTTTAATTTCATATTTCAAGATTGCTTTCTTCAGAATTAAGCACGGATTTATATATAAAATTTTTATTATAATTTAGTTTTGGTTTAAATTTATTTCCATTATTTAGGTCACTTTATACCGCAGCAATCAAACATACTTTCATCCTTTGCTTTTGGAACTCCTCAGGAAAGATTAAATGAAATTTTAAATCTAACTTGCCCAAATATTATAATAGTATATTAGTAAAATTTATTATTGTAGATTTTTATATAGCATTTATTATTTATTGATGATTTTTTGATGATGCTGTGTAAATTTTTATTCAAATATAATTTTCTTAATAGATTTCAATTTCAATCTTACCAAACAAATGTTTAAAAACTTATCCTCTCATTCAACTTTAAATGTAAAGGGTTCTAAATGCTTCCATACATCTTACGGAACCTATTCTTCATGATAAAAATTTTATTCGTTTATACACTAACATCCTATGATTATTTATTATTCATCTTTCAAATAAATTTAAGAGCGAGTAATATAAAGTATATTTTAAGACTTTAAGAGCAACATTATGTAAAAGTTTGGATAAATTATATAAATTGATAATATTATAAATTAAGATAAATATAAATATGTGAAATTAGAGCGTATAGATTTTAAAGTTAGCGTATCAAGTATCATATTTAAAGTAAGCGAATGTTATTTATTATTTTGTGTAACTAATAAATCTTTAATAATAAAATTTACTTACATAATTTTGATAAACATAATATATTGCACACCCAACATGACGTAATCATAACTCAAGAATTGGATCACATGGTTAAAAGTTTGCTTAATCACAATTAACATTTTAGTAATGTCATTAACGTTCTAAAAAATACGTATTTTAATAATCAAATCTGAATTTAAATTATTTAAAATTATAAACTTTTAAATAATCATCAGGACAACAATATTGATAGCTGGTAAATCATATCTGTAACCAAGAAATCATTTACGTAATAATATGTTATTAGAATTCCTTAACTTAAATTTATAATGATGTCATTAATTAATCTGATGTAAAAATCTTTATGAGCAAATACAAATAATACCGGAAATATCAAAACTATTAATAATTACATCTATCATCATTAATATAAAATCGGTATTAGTTTATTTTATATATTTACATATTTCATTAAATTACCTTTTAATAGTAATGAGCTAGAAATTTCTAATTCATGTAATTGAGAATCTTGAAATATAAATATGCACTAGAGTTAGTATTTATATTTTAATTATCGAAAATAAAATTTAGAAAATACCTTCATTATTTTCATCCTTTTCAAGATATGAAGTAATAAAAGACGAATTAATAAATTAATAGGTTTTGTCAAATTTTTAAACGTAAATGCTCTACTTGCACATACAGCGTCAAGATTTGTTTTATGTGAAATTGAAATATTTGGAATATCTTTATCAGCTTCTTCAAATGCTTCATTTATTTCTTTTCCAAAATATTCATATTGTTTATTTTCTTTATAATCCTCATAAAATTTAATAGATTTATACCAAAAAGACAATATATCCTGCAACTCCTTGCTTGTTGGTCTTTGATTTGGATTTGTATTCATACATCTATAAGCCAATTTCTTATAAAATTCAGGAGTTCCTTTTCCAAATTCTGGACGAAGCCCATTACAAATATCTAAGGCTAAAGACACGTCATGTTTTCTATCATAAAAGGAAGGGTTTCCAGTTGATAATTCAGTCATAATTACACCAAAACTGTAGATGTCAGAAGCTAAGGTATATGATTCTCCATTCAAGACTTCTGGAGCGATATATGGTAATACTCCATATATTTTGTCATTTGAATTTTGCTTATCTGCTGGTCCTATTAATCCAAAATTTGAAACGTAAGAATCTTGTTCATCCTGCAAGATGTTTCCACTATAAAAATCTTTATGACAATATCCTAATTCTCGTAAAGTGGTAAGGTCAGTAATAATTTAGTAATTTTTTCTTTCCATAAAATATTGTTAAAATTATTTGAAGAGTATTTCTCAAATTTCCGTTACATAAAAATTGCATGATCATAATAAATTCTTTGGTTTCTAGACCCTTAGTTATTTCATAAAACTCTAATGAGTTATATTTTTTATTATAAATATCCCAATGTGCTTTAAGCTATTTTTTAATAAAAAATTAAGAAAATTAGAAATATTCAATATAAAATATCAAATGTGAATGTAAATACCTCATTAAAATAATTGGCTGATATATTTTGAGATCCATTTACCTTTTCAAAGCAACCTTCATAGGTTCAGGATGATATTTTTTCCAACTTCCATCATCTTGTTTTTCAAATTTCGATGCACCATCGATCCATGTTGCAGAATACACTTTGGCGAATCCTCCTTCACCAATTTCTTTTATTCTGTGAATCTATCAAAAGGCACCCATTCAAGAAATCTTGGAGATTGATATTGATATCTTTCATTTTTTTTTGTATTTGCATTATTCAATGTATCTTTAATGAATTTATCAATATCAGAATTTCCGCTAGTCCATCTAGTCCATCCTTCACAAAGGTCACATTCTTTACACCATAATTTCTCTGTAAATGTTTTATCGCAATAAGAACATTTGTTATTTTCTGAGATATTTAATTTGTTGAATTCAGATTCTATTAAGTCTTGAGCTTCATTTACATCCATTTTTTTTTTTAAAAAAAAAAAGAAAAAAAATTTTTTCTGTAATGACCAAATCTGGATCAACAGAAAATATTTTCTGAACACAAATCAAATGATCGCGCATACTGCTAGGGATGAGTTCGGTTCAGTTCGGTTCGATTTCTTAGTTCACTATGTAATTGTTACGAGAGATTCAAGAAAAAAAAATATATTATAATTAAGCAAAATTTCTTGTATTAAAACTAGTTAATTCCTAATTTATTAAAATCTCCTTGATAATCATTCCTTAAAAATTTAACAATAAAATTTCCATTTTAGAACTAGTTAGTCAGTTTTAATCATTATCGGCTTGAACCGGTTTAATCTAACTGCAGTTCATAAATTTTTTAAACCGCCTCGGTTTCAACCAAACCGATACCATCCCTACATTACATACTGCGGTAATTATTAATCTTATTATATCTCCATATCTAGTTCTTAAAAGCTACAAATCTACAGGTTTCAACCTCTTAATATTCCATCCGCGCATTGAGTCTAATTAAATCGTTATGATCGAATTCTGTAATTTCTGAAATTTGTCAAATCTGTATTTAAAATAATTAAATTTTTGAGCTAAATTTATATAGCTTGGCCAAAATTAATAATTGCCGCAGTATGCGTTCATTTGATTTAGTTCGGAAAATATTTTCTGTTGATCCAAATTTGATCATATAATTCCTTTTATCCATTCTCATTTGAAATTACAGATTTTTTTAAAAAAAAATAATGGATGTAAATAGTCATAGAAATGAAATTCAAGACCTAATAAAATCTGAATACAACAAATTAAATGTCTCAGAAAATAGTAAATGTTCTTGTTGTGATAAACCATTTACAGAGAAATTATGGTGTAAAGAATGTGATCCTTGGTGTATAATTGAAGGATGGACCAGTGGAAATTCTGATATTGATAAATTCATCAAAGATACTATGTATGATGTAAGACATTATGATGTTGTTGACCATTTTCTTGAATGGGTGCCTTTTGATAAATTTACAGGTATAAAAGAAATTGGTGAAGGAGGATTCGCAAAAGTGTATTCTGCAACATGGATCGATGGTAAATCAGTATTTGGAAGGCAAGAAGATGGAAGTCGGAAAAAACTAGATTCTAAAGCTATGAATGTTGCTTTAAAAAGGTTAAATGAATCACAAAATATGTCAGCCAATTATTTTAATGAGGTATTATAATTTCCATTTAAATTTTATATTTATTAAATAGTATAATTTTTATTTTCTTAAATTTTTATTTAAAAAATCAGCTTAAAACACATTGGGATATTTATAAAAAAGAATCTAATTCATTAGTGTTTTATGGAATAACTAAGGATCCAGAAACTAAAGAATTTATTATGATATTAGAATTTTTACCTAATGGAAATTTGAGAAGTTATCTTTCAAATAATTTTAACAATATTTTATGGAAAGAAAAAATCAGTAACTTATGGATCATTACTTATAGCCTTTATAATTTACAAAATTTAGGTTATTGTCATAAGGATTTTCATAGTGGAAATATCTTGCAAGATAAACACAACCATTCTTTCATTTCAGATTTTGGATTAGCGGGACCAGCAGATAAGAAAAATTCGAATGACAAAATATATGGAGTATTACCATATATCGCTCCTGAGGTCTTGAATGGGGAATTATATACCTTAGCTTCTGACATCTACAGTTTTGGTGTGATTATGGCTGAATTATCAACTGGAAACCCTCCCTTTTATGATAGAAAACATGATGTGTCTTTAGCCTTAGATATTTGTAATGGACTTCGTCCAGAATTTGGAACAGGAACTCCTGAATTTTATAAGGAATTAGCTTATAGGTGTATGAATGCAAATCCAAATCAAAGACCAACGAGTAAAGACTTAAAGAAAATATTACGTTTTTGGTATAGTTCTATTGAAGGTTATGAGAAATATAAAGAAATTAAAGAATATGGATATTATGGAAAAGAAATAAATGAAGCATTTGAAGAAGCCGATAAAGATATTCCAAATATTTCAATTTCACATAAAACAAGTCCTGACGCTGTATATACAAGCAGAGCATTTGCGTTTAAAAATTTGACAAAACCTATTAATTCGTCTCTTATTACTTCATATCTTGAAAAGCTTGAATAGGATGATAATAATGAAGGTATTATCTAAATTTTATTTTCGATAATAAAATATAAATATTATCTTTAATGCATTTTAATATTTCAAGATTCTCAATTACATGAATTAGAACTTGCAACTCATTACAATTAAAAGGTAATATAATGAAATATTGAGATATTAAAATATCTATTTTATATATAATGATAAACGTCAATTATTAAAGGTTTGGATATTTCCGGTATTATTTGTATTTGCTCATGAGAGTTTATAAAGATGGTTTACATCAGATTAATTAATGACATCATCATAATTTTAAGTTAAGGAAATCTGATAACGTTAGCATATTATTATGTAAATGATTCCTTGGTTACGGTCGTTACGGACATTATTTACCAGTTATCATTATTGTTGAATCTCAATATCACAATATTTAGATTACATTTTCAGATTCACCTGATGATTATGTAAAAGTTTATATTTTTAAATAATTTAAATTCAGATTTGATTATTAAAATACGTATTTTTTAGAACGTTAATGACATTACTAAAATGTTAATTTGATTAAGCAAACCTTTAACCATGTGATCCAATGCTTGAGTTATGATTACGTCACGTTGGTGTTTGCGATATATTATATTTTTATATTTATCAAAATTATGTAAGTAAATTTTATTATTGAAGATTTATTAGTTACGCAAAATAATAAATAACATTTGCTTACGCTAACTTTAAAATCTATAAGCTCTAATTTCACATATTTATCTTAATTTATAATATTATCAATTTATATAATTTATCCAAAACTTTTACATAACGTTGCGTATATTTGCTTAAAGTCTTCAAATATACTTTATTTTCTCGCTCTTAAATTTATTTGAAAGATGAAATAATAAATGATCATTAAACAAAATCTTTATCAGATGTTAATGTATAAACGAACAAATTTTTTATAATTTTCGCAACATTATCATGAAGGATAGGTTCCGTAAGATGTATGGAAGCATTTAGAACCCTTTACTTTTAAAATTGAATGAGAAGATAAGTTTTGAAACATTTGTTTGGTAAGATTGAAATCTATTAAGAAAATTTTATTTGAATAAAAATTTACACAGCATCATCAAAAATCATCAATAAATAATAAATGCTATACAAAAATCTACAATAATAAAATTTACTAATATTCTATTATAATATTTGGTTTAAAACTTTATTTTAATATTTCCTGAAAAGCTCCAAAAGCAAAAGGATGAAATATGTTCAATTGCTGCGTTACAAAGTGATCAAACCTAAATTATGGAAATAAAAACTAAAATAAAATATATATATATAAATCCGTACTTAATTCTGAAGAAAGCATTCTCGAAATATGAAATTAAAGAATAAAAAAAAAGCTTTAAGAATTGCTGCAACTTGCTGTAACTAAAAAAATAAT